AAGGGTGACTGGGAGGTGTGGACACCAAGTTCTCTGAAGACTGCTTCAAGAGAAAAGAAATATTTAGCTGGAAGACTCAGGGGGCACAGAATAGCTATCTTCAAACATTTGAAGTTAACAAAGGGAAAAAGGCTCAGACTTGTTCTGAGAGGCCCAGGGGCAAAGCTAGGATCAACCAGGGACAGGAGCAGAAGAGTTGTTCAAAGGAGGAAATGGCTGCCTTAAAGAGCCTGAGGCTGGCAACCACTTAGCAGCGATCACCGGACTGTAAGATCTATGAGAACAGGGACCCTGTCTGTTTTGTTCACTGCTCTAGCCCTAATACCTAGAATGGTGATCAGCACACAGTAGATGTACAATATATATCTGTCGAGTGAATTAATGGGGGGGATACTCAGCACTTGATGGGAAGTTTGCCAAGTGACCTTAAGTGCGCTGTTGCCTAAACTTGTGTGCATCTTCCTTCATCTGCGTGGTCAGCCTTTAAGTCCAAATGTGTCTTTGTAGTCTACTCAGAAATACAGAGGGAGCTCCTGTCCTGAAGAGGACAACAGAAACAGTAGGGAATCAACGATCCTGACCTGGCAGAAGCTCAGCCTCCCGGATGGTGTGTATTTTTAATATAAAGTATAAATAAGTACCTCTGAGGTGTTAATGGTTTCTCCCTTGAATGCACGCTAGCCAGGAAGTCATGCCACCCTGAAGAGGCCCTCAAAGTTCCCTATAAGAATTTTCTAAAATCATTGTCAAAGTAGGTTATAAGTGAGCATGTTCCTTAAATCCACTGTTCCATACTTTTAGGAAGAAAAATGCAGATGTTCAATTTAACCTCCACACCACAGCAGCTAGCACATTAAATCAGATTCTCAGCAGCCTCCAGCATGCTGAAGCCATCAAGGAAGAACTTGAGATCAGAGTCATGAAGTGCAGACACAGACGTCACATGAGGTATTTATTTTGCAACCATTGGGTTCAATTGCCTAGTATCAGGTCACCAAAAACCAATTTTCAGGCTCCCAGTGAATCCCAACCAAAGGTCACACTGTTTGGCCACTCTAGGATGGCAAGCATTTGGAGAGAAGAGGATCACCTCGGAAATCTGTACACAATTCAGAGAAAAGACATCAGAAGTTAGGATAGGTCCATTTCAGGTATTCAGGGCACACCTAATATGAAGCACATCACATGACCATGAGAGACAAATAGGAATGGAGGTGAGCCCGCCTAACCCATTCTCTAGTGTTTCATTCCATATCAGCGCATAGTCACAACGATCATCGACAGGAGAGAAAAAAGAGCTGAAAGACACATGTGGGGGACAATTTTGACTCCTAATTTAATTTTTGTTTGTTAAATAGGTGATGAGGCTTCAGTGTGGCACCATCCAGATGTTAGGGGCTGGTGCCATTCCATCGGTTTTCCTGCTGGCTTTGGTGTCCAAAAGAATCACATTCCAAAAGACATAAAAGAGGACTGAAAAACAAAGAAGAGTAATTTTCAAGATAAGGATTCCCCGCTACAGGAAAGAGCTAAATTGTGCTAAGCACATTTATTTATGTTTAAAGGTACAACTTGAACACCAGAGCAGTCTGCTGCCACCAGACTGCTCTTCTTATATAAACTATATCACTGAATAACCAAATAGTAGATGAAAGTTTTATTTAAAAAGTATTCTAGCTAATAAACAAAGGAGGAAAGAGAAATATCGCTATTTTGACTCCTAATGAATTAACGAATCTAGCCATTGCCTATTAATGGATACTAATATCAAAAGAGAAAAAGATAATTAGACATTATGAGTTTATGGATGGAAGAATTTAACAGCACATGTCAAGTAATCTTGCCCAATCCCCCGCCAAAAAAAAAACACCTGAATCTGATCAAACCTTCAGATACAACCACCAATTTGCAGATAAAAAAAGAGGACAGAGCAACATGTATAAAGACACCATGGAAATATAATCAGCAAAATCTAGATAGTGAGAAACTACAGGATAAATAATTCTTCAACAAATAAATGGCAAAGGGAAAAAGAGAGAGACGGAGTAGAGATTCAATAATTTAAAAGATTTAAGAGATACATCGCCCAACTGCAATGTGAAATTCAAACACTAAGTATATGTGGTATTATGATTATGTTTTAAAGAGTATTTTTTACAGATCTAGAATTTAAATATTACAGAGGAAATAATAGGATGTCTTAGATTTGCTTCAAAATAATAATAGAGGGAAAAGGTGGGGGTATGGATGACACAGGAGTTGACGACTGTTGAAAGCAGCTGATGGGTACATGGGGATTCATTATACTATCCACTCTACTTTTTGTCTATGTTTAAAATTTTCCACAAATAAGTTTAAAGAAAGAATAAAAAGTTATTATGTGGACCCACTTGCCACTCCAGGGTCTCCCAATTTACCTCAAAGAAAGGGAACAAAGAAGAACATTGAGAAAGAAATAGCCCATGGATTCTGTCGGCAGGGACATTTCAGACATGGTGTGGAAAAGAATAAGGAGCTGGTAGAAAATAGTGTTAGCCATGGTGTGAAGTCACGCAGTCTGGATGCTGTGTTAAAGGGGATTATAGCATTGAGTTAAAGCTGACTTCAGAATAAAAGAATTGATGTGTATAAACCTAGTAAAAAAGTTCATGGCTTTGGCTTATAAAATGAACACTCTTGACATGAGTGAGTGAAAGGATAATTGCACATAAACCCTGTGTATCAAATCAGGAGGGTATTAATTATAAAGGAGTCTCTTGAAACCCTTTGCTCATCTCTCATTAAAGCCTTCTCACACTGCAGTATAAATATCTGCTGGCCATGCTCCTCTGGACAGACTCATTTGTCACCACCCCTGGAAAGGCAGCCCCAATCTGGATGTGGCCCTTCAGATACTTCATCCCTCAGCCAAAGTAAGACTTCCTAGGTACAGTTTCCAGAGTTTACCAGGGTTTTGGCTCAGAGGAGAAATGGCAAAGGCCCTCAGATGATGAGTTAATTTTTAAAAAGGAAGGCAGCAAAGAAGGAAGCCAGATATTCTTTATAACATCTCAATGACTTATGTAGGGGTAACTTCCCCGATGAAAAGTAATTGGAGGCTCCCCTATGATTTTGAGGTTTCAGGGAGAGAAAGGGTTAATGCTCTCTCAGTAATCCATTCCAGGCTAAGCCCTCCAATGCACAGATTTACATGAAGGTTATCTGCAAGATTAGAAGCCATACTTTTTCAGTGAAAGCTGGGAGTCCAGAGATTACAGTAGAGGGCACAGCCAGCTCATAAATCTGCAGTGCCTGGAGCTCTAGACAGCCCCTCACATTGGCAAAGCGATTGATGCTTCTGCCAAGGAGGCTCCAAAGAAACTGTTCATCACTATCTCATTTGGAGACTTGACACCCAAATGGAGGCACTGACACCCAAGTTTATAGATCTGAGCAAAGCCCAGAGGTATCAAATCTGTGTAAATCAGGATGGGAGGTCTGCAAGGGCCCTGATGGCTGGGCTGTTCTCAGATGCTAGCTTCTGACTTTTAAGGTTTAAAGGACCAGGGACACTTGGTCTGGAGCCTTCCTAACCAAAATGTAAGAAAGGAGTTGAAGTCTCAGCTTACGAGCAGGCAAGAGAGCCAGCCCCTCATTAGGGCCTCACTAGGCTGATGTCAGGCATTCTGAGCCAAAATTGCAAGGACTCAAGCAACTGTCACCCTTGTCCCTACCTCTGTCCCTCTCTATCTCGGCTTTGATTTCTTGTTCTCAGTGATGTGGTATCACTGTGCCCCAATGAACAGCCTATGCCTTCACCTTCCCGAAAGCCACGGGCAGCTAACTACTCTTTTCAGAACAATGGGTAACTGATTGCTTCTGCTTAACCTTCAGCACCCAATTTAAACAGACCCCCTCTGTGATGTACAATACAAGGTATAAGGGGATAACAAGGTAAGTGATGACCATTGGAAGGGAAGTACATGTCAGACATCTGGAATAGCAGATGCAAAGGCCTGATGTATTCTGGCAATGGTAAAGAGTTTGGCATGGCTGCAGCCTCTATATACTGAGGAGGTAGAACAGGAAGACAAGGAACAGCCCATGGAGGAATTGACATTTTTTCCTGTACTCTGACCCTCTAAGCCAACCATTGACAGAGGAATCATCAGAGGCCCATAGAGCAAACCAGGCATGAGAATTCGTAAGCTTTGTAGAACCCATGAGTAATTCAAGAGAGGTCACACACAGAGTCTGAAGCCAAGCTGAGAAGTCACAGGGAAACTAGAAAAACCTGCCAGGATAGTAAACCCATACTGTACTACTGGGAAGAGGACAGTGATTAGAGGAGAGGGGATGCTGGGACCCAAAGATAGGAGCTTCTCTTACAGAAGAATCTAAGAGCTCATACTTCTCAAAGCTATAAAGTCAGATCATATGGATTTCAGAGTTGAAGACTTCAGCAAGAGAGACTCATATATACAGGCATGTGCACACACACCACACTGAATTGTGCAAAAAGATTAAAGGCTCTGGCCCTCTGTGTTCTTATGTTAACTGCAACAGAATTGATGCACCTGCCTATTTTTCACTGTACCACACAGCAAGAAGATAAAAAAAATATAATCTCTTACTTTCCTCTTTAGCTGGACGTGGCTACTGCGACTGTTTGGTTTGGAACAACTGTAGTTATTGGTAGATGGTCCATCTCTGGTGCATCAAAAAAGTATGCCTGCCGAAAAAGGAGACCCATAACAGGAGTTAAAAAAGTGTGTTCTAGACTCCATGCGAACAGTCCTTCTGGGTTCCTGTGGCCCCTATGTTCCCCCTGCCACACTGGTTGTCACTGAACTACAACCATTACTGTTTTTGTCTGTCTCGCTCACTCAACTGTGAGTGCCTTTTTAAATTTTGCTACCATTTATTGAGCAATGGCAATATTGAGCAATAATCTTCACAACAACCCAGTCAGGTTGTTATTATTATCCTCATTTGACAGATGAACAAACTGAGGCTTAGAGAGGCTGTCATTCAATCAGGTGCACATGACTGGCTAATGAGTAATGGAGCCAGGACTCGAAGCTGGGTCTTTCTAACTCCAAAGTTCAAGCTCTTAATCTCTATATTATACGGTCTCTCCTCCAAAGGCTGTATGTATCCTTCCTGTCTTTGTGTCACCAGCCCCTCACATAGGGCCCGGCACACCATGTAAACAATCAATACTTAATGAACTGAACTACGATAGATTGCTGCTAAACCAGGTGGCTCTCTGTACAGACCTCTAAAAGAAAGTGCTAGGCAGACCGTACCTCGTAATTCTTCAGCATGGAAATGAAAGGTTTAGTTAAGTGCTTTTACTCACATCTACAATTTAACTGTCAAAAATCAGAAGGAGGTGGAAGAGAGAACATTGAAGGGGATCTTCCCACCTGTTTCAAGGTCTGAGAATCCTAACTTTAGCCCAGGAAAATACCAATCTCACTAGCCTTGAACACTGGTTGTTCAAAGGAAGGGTGAATCGTTAATAAATCAAGGACCACTGCTCGGTCATGACTCCCCCTTGGAGTCAGGGCGTTAGGAAAGTAAAAAGATAAAAAGCAGCCGAGTCGGGAACCATTTCACCAGTACTGCTTTCTATTAGCCAGAAGGGGGCACCAACGCAACATGCTGGAGCTTTCCCAAATTCCCTGGTTAACTCCTCAATAGTCCATTTCAAAAAGTTTCTAGCTGTAGACTCCCTAGTTTATCACATCCCCAGGGTAATTCTATTAGTTTCAAAAGTCTTTCTCCCCCAGGCCCCCTTACAAAAGCTGTTTCTCCCCCCTTCCAGAAGCTGTTTTCTAAGGCAAGGCAAAAACAGTCCCTAACTTCAAGAGTTGGGGGCGGGGGGACAGAGGCCATGCTGCTGTTGTTGGGGCCCCTCCAATTATCTGGCAGGTGCACTGAGCCACAAAGCCATGATGCAGGATTAATGCCTTTCTTCCACTCTACTGGAAGAAGCCGTCATTACGTGGGATGAGCCAAGAGGCCCAGGTTCTAAGCCTGGCTCTGCTAGTAACTTGCACTGTGACTTGGACAAGTCGCTCTACCCCTGTGGGCCTCAGTTTTCTTATTTGTAAAACAAAATGATTGGAAAAAATTATCTCTAAGGGCAAATTATAATTCTATGATGCATGATTTCCACAAATACTAAGGCATAGGAACCTCTGCTATCAAACATAGGCTCATACATGTCCAGTCATACCAGCCAAGGATGTACCCTCTGCTGCTTCCTTAGTCATCCCTGCCAGGTATGTGCCAGTACAAACTCAGAGATCATATACAAGTGCGGCACCGAGGGGACCTCAGCAGGTGTAAGACTGTCTTTGTGCTTCATTGCACAAAGGCAAAAACACCAATCTGTGCTCTCCAGGGAAGAGTGAGAAGGCCAAGCTGTCTGGTTCAGCCAGTTCCCCTCGGCTCAAATAACTCCCCTGCCAATTCCCCTCCTGGCCGGCCCTTCCAATAATAATGTCTTTCTTTGTATGGTTCGTCGTATTTTTCATGTTGCACATACCATTCAATCCTTACAATAAAGATGTTTCTACAGCTCCTTTTTCTAAGTGAAGAGGTAGGGGTCCAGAGAAGGGAAATAACCAAAGCAGGGAGTCATAGAACTAAGACTAAGACCCATCTCCTATTTCTACTTCAGCCCTCTGGAACTGCACACCTTCTCCAAAAGAGAAAGGAGGAGAAAATTTTCAGTGTGGAGAACAAAACCCCAGGCACAGTAGGCGCCTGGCTATACATTTAATCGAGGATGACTCCCTTCCCTGAGGAGGAGAAAACTGTGCTTCTTTCTAAGATGAGGTCCTATGTCTGCAATTACTTCCTGGCATCACTGTCCAATCTGCCCAGTTCCTCTGAGTCCCTTAAACTGAACAGGGCAATGGCCTCTCTCCTGCTTCCTTCTCTCCTCCAACTTCTCAACAAGGTATATAATGGGTAAGAAGTACAGGAGAGAGGCAGGAGGATGTCAGTGAGAGGCACCGATGAAAGGGCACGGTCTTTAGAGTTGTGTGACCCTGGATAGCTCTCACTGGGACACTCAGGAAGAAAAAGCTGCAGAGTGGCCCTGGCAGCTTCTGGATGACACAGGGCTCTTTTAATAACTTCTTTATATCTGAAGAAACTGTCATACTATATGAAGGGCTTTCAAAGCCATTTAACTGAGTCTCACAAAAGCCCACAAAAAGATGAACCTCCCTGACAGATGAGGAAACCAAGGTTCTGAGTTAAGTCACTTGCCTGGGCTCACAGTGTTAAGCAGCTCTCAGTCCAGTGCTCTTTCCACTTCATTTTGTGCTCTCTTTTAGAAAGTTCCTGAGTTAGCAAGATGGGAAAGTAAATTCTAACTTCAGTGTCATTTACCCCAAAAGGGAGTAATAGGCATAGGAAGTAAACAATCCCGGCCACAGGTACCAGGTGAAATGGGATAATAATAACAACAACAACCACAACTACACCTGCCCCATTGTCCAATCTGCCTCGCTCCTCTTTTTAGAACTGAATAAGGCAATTTCTTTTCTCCTGCCTCCTTCTCTCCACCAACTTCTCAATCAGGTCTATAAAGGGGAAAAAATTCAGAAGAGAGATGGGAAGACGCCAGTGAGAGGCATTACAGTGAGTCAGTTACAATGAAAAGGACATTCTTATTCCGCAGACAGAAGGGTCACAGCAACATTTCAAGGGATCAGCCACAGATTAAACTGCCAGAAATTAACAGTGTCACTCTGCCGTGAGTCAAAGCAACAGTCTTTGTCTTAAGGATCTAAAGCTTAGGCACATGTAAAGCACATGTAAATCAGGTCTGTGTTTCAGAACTTGGCACTTTTTATAAGACTTGTTCAAGAATAAAGTATTGGGATCTTATTAATGCACTTAACGAGACCATGGTTGTCTACACAAAAGTGTTAATGATCAAATGGTACTAAAGAAATATTTCCTCCCACAACTGCAAAACCTGTCCAAGGGTCTAGACGTGGGTTACGTGGGCATCTTCCCATGGGCATGTCCTTTACTTCATCACTGACCTTAACGTTCTTGGACTCAGTTTTTTCAAACCCTGTGCCAGGCTTTATTAAGGGCATGGATAGCAATTTCTGTGCACCACATATATAGAAGATACAAAACCATGTCTCATTAGGATCAATAAAAAGGGATCTAACTTATAGACATTTATGGGACAAGTTTTATGTTATGTGCTTTATATGTATCATTTTATATTATCCTCAGAACAACCCTCTGTGGCAGGACCCATTATATCCATGTTACAACAACCCTCTGTGGCAGGACCCATCATATTCAAATTCAGAGAAGTTTGGTACCGAGCTCACATAAACAGTGAGTGACAGAGCTGGTCTTCAATCTGGACCCGTCTGACTCAAAAGTACATACTCTCCCTGAAATGACACTTAAACACACAAGCTCAAAAATTCTTTTAAATGTTCCTCACCTGAAAAATAACTCCCCTTTCCTATATTTGAATTCATTCTCAAGCTTTCTACCTATGAGGCTTTAAACTTCAAAACTCTTTCCAGTATGTGCAGAAAACAAACAAAGGCATCCAAAAGCAGAATTCTCCCCATCTCACTGCCCAATCCTATTTATAGACACTCATCCACCCCCACTTCTTCTGGCCATACACCAAATCTTAACCAAACTTCAGAAATTAGGTGAAGCGGGAGATGACAATCGAATTCTCATGACTTTACCACTCCTCATCCAGGATAGTCTATCTAAAATAATATTTATTTCTTGGAGCCAGTTTTTAAAGAACCATCACTTCTAACAGTTTGAGGTCTTTCAGAAAGTATTTGCATCTAATACACACCAGAATAACACAGGAATGAGACCATACCAAGCAGCCCACAGAAAGCAGCATATGAAGCAACACAATTGTCACAATTGTGGCCAGTGCAATGCGCCGATTATCCTCACGAACAGCTGGCCAAAATGTCATTGCCAAGACCGAGCCTGAGATGCCCAGGGCCATCATGACTAGAATCCAACGAACGGCTTTCTGGGGGATAATCCACAGTATCTGAAAGAAGAGAGGAAGGGGAGGAGTTTGGGGAGGCATTTCAGAGAGGCATTTGTTCATTCCAGGCACATGTTTATAAAGGCCCATACGCCAATCAACACTGGGCCCCCATTGCCCCTCTAGTTTCTCAGCAGAGCCTGAAGAAACACCACCAGCATGCAGACTGAGGAGAATGCTTTCATAAGGAAGGGCTTTAGATCCAGTGAAGGCACTTGGCTCCCCAGCCCCAACATTCCTGTTGAATTTCTAAATTCAAAGGGTATTTTTCAGGCGTTAGGCTAGAAATAATGATGTAGGTTGAATTTCCAACCAAGGACAGGGCATTACCCAGAATAAATATGGTACTTACTGCTGTGGGGATATAAATGAAGAGTGAATATCCATAGACACACACAATCTCCAAAAACGAGTAGGAAACGATGTTCATAACTTTGCTGTTTCTCCACAGGAGGAAACCCCAGAGTGCAAGAGGAACCAACCAGGCATAGGCATAGATGACTGTGGCTGCTATGGACACTGAGGATGACAGGACATAAATTTTAATCCCCATGAAGCCTTTCGGGCACTATCAGAGCACTTCCAGGACCTTACTGGACCTACTTCCTAACACATCCGGCTACTTCACTGGACCATGGGATCGTGCCTTACTGGTGTGCATAGTCCCTGAGCCTGGCACAGTACCTGACACAGAAGTAGGTGCTCTATAAATGTGCTGAATCTTTAGCATTTGTCTTTATGGTGCTGACCAGCAGTCTCTTATATGGTTTTTAAAATTTGTTTAATAACTAACAACTAATACTATTAATTATTTTTACTATTAAACTAAATTATGCAACTGAAATACTTCAGAGGGCCACACTACAAGTGTTTAAGTATACTGAGCATTTCAATCAAATAAAAGCCAACTAACTATCCCCTTGGAAGAACACGTCCTCTTTCCTAGTGTAACAAGAGCTGACACTGATTTCTTTAGCAAATTTATTAAAATGCCCTGGGTAGAGATTAACTTGCTCTGTATGCTATTTAGAGTTCTTTCTGTCTCTGAAATAGGGAGTTCCAGCTCACTGATGAATTGCTTAAAATATTCTCCAGTTTCACTTTCTTCTTTAAATAATTCTCTCTGTGGTGGAAAAGCTATTTAACGGCTCCTCAGAACGGCAATGTTCAGTATATTACTGAACCTCCCTCCTCCTCCTCCAGCAGCAACAGCACGCCCTAGAGGATTCGTTCTCCCTCTTCTGGAAGGGAGGATCATAATGCGTGGCTAAGCCCACAGCACCAGCCCTTCCTACATGAAAATCAGCAGGTAATTAATTTAAAGCTCTTGGTAAGAACAAAGCTACCCCTAGCAATTATGGTCAGACTCTGGTTAAGACGTGCCATTGTCCGAAACATTGTTAGCTCCCAGAGCAGTTTTTTCATGTTGAGAACTCCTCGATTAAACCAAATGTAATTTTGCTGACCTACTGCTTTTTTCTTGGATAACTAAAAGAAGGGAGAAGGAATTACTACTATGGCTACAGCTAGCCACTGAGTGCCAGGCCTTACACTGAGTGCTTTATTGAGAGGCAACATTGTATAACAGTCAAGGGCACAGGCTCTGGATGCAGAATACTAGTTCTGCCACATATAGCTAAGTAACCCCAGGTGGTGAGTTACTTAACCTTCCTGCCTCAGTTTCCTCATCTGTAAAATGGGAATAATAACAGTATAGTACCTTATAAGATTATTAGTGTTAAATGAGTAAAAACAGGTATACTGAGAACACTGAGAAATAATAAATGCTCAATAATTAGCTTTTTATATTGTTAACTAACATGTAAACACATTATTTCATATATTCTATATCTCCACTTTAGAGATGAAGAAATAGGATCAGAGAAGCTAAGTGGTTTGGTCGAGGTCAAATAATTAACAAGCAGTAGAAGCAAGATCTGACCTTGGATGTGTGACTTATATCTTTTACATAAAATGGAAAACTGTTCATTGATAAGAGGCAATGACTATCTTACTGGTACATGCATCCCATGACTCTCTGATACTGAGATGCCCAGCCAAAGAGGATAAGAACAGATAAAGACCTGTCCTGAGCTTCCAAACCCTCAGGCAGGGTAAGTCACTCCTTTTTTTGGTCAATGTATCTATACATACCTCAGATATAGAAATTAACACATACCATTTATAGCAATATTCATTTACCTGTCTTTCTTTGCTTAACCAATGAGCCATTTGAAGTTAGAGTCTATATGTCATGGATAACATTTATGGAGTTAAACTCAAACGCCATTTGACAAATGGAGCTGAGATTTAATTCAGGTCTGACTCAATATGGGGAAGGAAAGAGGAGAATAAGGGGAAATGGGCATGGAGGGTACAGGGGAAAAAAGTAAGGAAGGATACACAGAGGCACACAGACACACACAGGTAATACATATCTCTATACATATATATATATATACACATACATATGTATGTTTGTGTATATATAAATGTTAACTATTATTTTGCATATTTCGACTCTTCATTCTTACAATTGCCCTATAATATAGATATTATTATTCCTATTTCACTAATAAGAAATCAGAAACCAAGAGAGATGAAATAGCCTGTCTGACAACATAGAAGTTAATGAGTGGTGGGGCTGGAACTTGAAGCCAGTGACATGGTTCCTGAGACCATGCTCTTATACAGTCTACGCACGGCCTCTCAATAGGAGAGCAGGCGGGCAGCGAAGGATAGAATTGAGAAGGTGGCACTGATCAATCTCCTAATCAAACCTCCTCATTTTGGGGTGGTCATCATCTGCAAGTCCCTAAAAGCTATTTTGTTTTTTGTTTTCTTTTTTTAAATTATCCAATATTACCACAGGAAAGGAAGTTTTAAAACAAGAATGTCATCTATAAGCCCAACACTAGGACACACTCATGTCTGCATTTTCCCTTCTAGGCCCTGACCATTTGTAGACTCCTCTTTAACAAAGTTGCTAATAGCACAGACATAAATTTGGATTATCAGTCTCCTATCTTGCTCTAGAGCTTCATAATTAGTGGCTACAAACCTAGCTAGTTGAGTTATCATGACTTAAATAACAATGCCCCTATTGTTTCCAACATTTGGATAACACAACTAATGCTACAATGGAGACTTTCATGCATACTGCTTTTTACATATTTTGTATATTTTTCTTTGGATAAATTCCAATTGCTATTGGGCATTCTCTTATAGTTTTCCAGAAGAGTGGATTCACAACATTGTGACTGTACTTAATCCCACTGAATTGTACAATTAAAAATGTTGATGTGGGAAATTTTGTTATGTATATCTTATCACAATTTAAAAAAAAGATTATATGTATATAGATGGGTGGTAAATTCTGAGACACGAGATATGTTTGAACCATGAAATACAGAAAGCAGGGGCTGCAACACCTACACATAGGGATCCAAAAACTCAGTAGGTAAAAAGAACTCATGGTTACAAACTGACAGCATTCTAAATGAGTCAAGCTGTTCACCAACCTTTTCGGAATTCGGGTACATAATGGTATGTCTTCTCTCCCAGATGGATTAAGAAGTTGGAAAGATTCCCACTAATTGCTATGGCAAAGACCAATGTGGCGCATATCCAAAAGGGGCCTGCAAAGGAGACCAGAAAACTCAGAGATAAGAAAATGAAGCACCAGTCTTCAAACTCTTACAGAATACTTCCCTATGTCCCTTGCCCTATTCATGTAAGCAAGGGAAAAGGAATTTTTGATGCATTCAATACTCAATGCAAATTTTCTTTTTTTTGAAAGGTCAAACATACAACTCAGTAATTAGCTGCCTTAAAGACAGGGGGGATTGAAATGTAAAGGCCAAAACACCTCCCACAATTAGGTGAATAAAGGCACTGATTTGTTTATAGCTTCTTTTATTGGAGGATCACCAAAAAATAATTCATGGACATTTTGTTAAACCCTCACCATCAGGATACAGGAAGCAAAAGTTATTTCCCTTATCTAAGTGCCAAATGTTAATGCCAGAGAAAAAAAGCTTCACTCATACAGATCCTTCTACAGTCTAAATGCAAGAGTAGGACAAGCAGAATGCTTCAGGGAAGAGTTAATTTAATCTACCAGTTCACCATGGGGGTATGTGCATGTGTGGGGGTATTTACGGCTTTTTTTTCTTTTTTTTATTGAAAAAGTAATACATGCACATAGTTCAGTGTTTAAAAAGTACAGGATGTCTAGGCCATACTACCCTGAACAAGCCCAATCCCATCTGATCTTGGAAGATAAACAAGGTCGGGCTTGGTTAGTACTTAGATGGGAGACCACCTAGGAAGACCAGGTGCTGTAGGCGTAAAAAATAAAAAATAAAGGATTGTAAACTGACAAGGTCCTTGAAATTTGTGAGGTCAACCAAGGGTTGCCTCGCCTAAAAAAAATAACAATAATAAAATAAATAAATACATACATAAATACAAAAATAGTAAAATTAATTAATTAAGTAAGTAAATTTTCTTCTTTCTCTGTCCTCTAGCTATGTATTTCCCCTCCCCAGAGTTCACCAATACAACCAGTTTCTAGTGAATCCTGCCAGAAATTTCCATATACATATAAGTAAATGCATATTTGTGTGTATATGTGTGTATATGTTTATACAAATAACATACATCACTCAGAGCCATTGGCTCTCTTCTCCCCTCAAACACAGAAGCCCACTGAAGTTGGAGCCCTTTCCTGCAAAGCACTGGGTGGACCTCTGACCTTCCTCAGACAACAGGGAGGTTGGGGGTGACAGTCATCCCCTGGCCCAGCCCTCTTACAGACTTCCAGTGCTGCTGCCTGAGTCCCAAGGGGAGCCAGTCTGTCTGTGGGCAGAGCTGGGACTCAGCACATCAATAAAAAAGTATGAGTATCTTCTCCACACTCAGGAGCCTGCCCCAATCCTCTAAAATTAAAATCAACATCTCCTCTTAGACAAAGTAACTTAATTTGCCTTATTTGTAATGTCATTTGAAGACTTTCAAAGAACATACTCTTACTTGTAATCATGGCATTAATATAGCAGATAATTGCATTTTCTCCAAAATTCTTTGCAAGGGTTGCTATTGAAGCTCAGAAGCGTCAAATAAAATGCTGCATGCCTTGCCAACAGTGCACTGCTCCACCTTTTCAGGCAACTCTCATACTCACCTGAGTTCAACTGGCACATGGAAAAGAATCAAAACGGTACTACACATACCGTAGAGATCTGGATTGCTGCGGATATATAACCTCACAAAGTTTTTTCCTGGTATTGGCAAAAGAGAACCTTTTATTCTGTCAAAGACCTGCAAAACAACATAGCAGTAAGTCTACTGAAGATTTTTCTTTAAATAAATTCAACTACTGCAAAATTGAAACTCAGTTATTAGAGCTCTTATGATAGTATTTTCAAATGCTAGCAAACCTTTACTTCTGTTAGACTATAACCAGTAACAAAAGCTTTAACATTATTTGATTGTTTAACTGTAGAAGAAACAAGTCTCCAGGTGAAACTGCTTTACAAACCTGGTAAGTGTCTACATCAAAGAATGTTTGATAGTATTCAAACGTCCAGAAGGGGGAGCTTTTCTTCTGTCCAGCAAGTAACTGTCAGAGGTAAAATAAAACATAATGAACACAGAAGTAATTTTCTTACTCCAGCTACACCAACAGAAAGGAAGCTGATCTAATGGAAAATCAAGCTGTACAAAAGACTAAGCTCTTCTGCATTCATTAGTCAATTTTGCAGTAATCATGCCTAACTCTCAGCCTGATGAAAAGCAAGCTTGGGTTTTGAAGTCACACCAAAAGGCTTCAAATCCTGGTCCCTCCACTAGGAGGGTGCTCGGTCAAATCACTAGACTTGTCTCAGTCTCAGTCTTCGTTCTTTTTATATATACACACACACGAACATACACATACAGAAAGCAGTCGAGATAAATATTTTCCTTCCTCACCCCCTCAAAACCTTAATATTATCACCACCCGAATTCTCAAAAATGTGATATATTAATTCACTCGAAAGTACTGAAAACTTAAAATATACAGCTCTCACAAAAAACAAAATTCTAATTTAGAAGAGGGACACAAGGTGGGTCACACCTGTCCCAACAGCATAACTGTTTGATGGCAGAATATAGGCCCCATGCTTGTATTCATGACTGCCATCTTCGAATACTTAAAGAGGATTTGTCAAGCAAAAGGTTCTGATGGAATCGGAAGCTTTGCAGGACAAGGGAAGGTAGTACTATAGGTAGATAACTTTTGTTTATTATAAAAGAAAACTATTTCACAACTAAAGTGTCCAAACAGTGGCCGCAGCTGCTTTACATGGTAATGAACAGCTTCTGGAAGTATTCAAGTTGTCTTTCTGACGTACCACAGACAACATCGATATCTTGGAAGGAAAGCTGAAATTGAGGAAACTGAAGGTTCTTCCCAACCCTAATATTATAAGATATTGAATACCATAGACCCATGTTCCATAAGCTAGGCCAAGGAATACTGGTAACCTCTCCCCTATTCAGACAAAATTAAGATAATGGACAGCACGTTTTCAATGAAAAAAATTTTTCCCCCTATACCATTCTTAAAATTCTGAAGCCTGCTATTGCTCAGTGTGATGGTTAATTTTATGTATCAGTGTGTCTGAGCCAGATATGAGGGTGTCTTGGATGAGATTTACATTTAAATCAGTGGACTTTATGAGTAAAGCAGACTGCCCTCCAAAATGTGGGCAGACCTCAGCCAATCAGGTGAAGGCCTGAATAGAAAAGGCTGACCTCCTGAACCAAGAGGGAATTCTCCAGCAGATTGCCTTCAGACTTCATCTGCAACATTGGCCTTCCTGGTTCTACAGCAGAATGCCTTTGGACTTAAACTCCAACTTTTCCTGAGTCTCCAGCCTATGAGCCTACTCTATTCAGATTTTGGACTTGCCAAGCAAGCATCCACAAACATGTAAACCATTTAAAATAAATCTCTTTCTTTATATATACACTTATTGGTTCTAATTCTCTGGAGAACTCTGGCTAATACATTCATCTATACTAAAAATCACTCCTGTCTCCTTAGGGAGTGATTTTAATAAGTACTTAACATACACTAACTCTAACATAGAGAGGAAGAACACAGACTCAGACTCAGACTGCCTTGGTTTAAAATTCCATCTACCACCTGCCAGTTGTGTATACTGGGGCAAGTTACTTAAACTCTGTGCCTCAGGTTTCCCATTTGTAAAGTGAGGATAGAAATAGTTCCTGGCATACAGGGTTGTTTTGAAGATTAAATGAGATGATCCAAGTAAGGAACTTTAAATGATGTCTGGCAGCTATTAAATTCTGAATAAATATTAACTATTGTAATGACAATGATAATAGTCAACATACTATTCTTGTATTTCAGATGAAAAAAACCTAGGCTTAAGGAAGTTAAAGTACCTTACCCAAGACACATAGCTATTACTACTGGCCAGACCAGGATTCAAAATTAGGCTTCTAAGTCTGAACTCCTGTCACAATATCTAGCATATAATGGTATTTAATTTAGCATAAACTTTGGTACTTAATACCTTCAGTTTCCTGTATTTCATTTAGTACTTACTTTGATATTTCATGGATTTTCACAAGGAGCACCTGACACCCAAGAGCGCCAATATTTTAACAAGCCCGAGAACCCACTGCTATAAACTGGGAGCTCTCTAGTGTATTATAGTCATGAGTCCATTTACAAAATATTACTGGAAATATGATTTTTCTGGAACACAACAGTGCACATAGAAATAAATCTTTATGATCAAAAAAGCCGCCCAAGAATCACCATACAGCCCTATGCAGAAACCCTGAAATCTCCATAGAATCTTCCCCCTCCCTCTCTCACCCTTTGCCACGAAGTCCTACTGAGCTCGCCCTCTATACATCTGTGTCCACCTGGAGTTCAGGCTTCATTGCTTCTAGCCTAGACCACTTCAACAGTTTTCTACTGGGTCTTCTGGCCTCTAATTCATACTCCACATGATCACCGTATCTTAAATATCTTTAAACATATCTGGCTATGTTGTTTAAAATCTTTCAATAGTTCCCCATAGTTTCCAGAATATAATTCATATTCATTGTGTCGAGTCCTGCCTACCTGTGTAGCCTCATCGCCTAACCTCACCTATCTTTTGTTCCCAATGTATGTGAAGATGGGAGATGCGCTGTCTATACCGTGTTCCTTCATGCCTCTGTGACTTCACCAAAATTGGTCCCTTTGTCTGAATCACCCTTCCCCGCCTTCCTTCCCTGGCTACCTCCTACTCTTTCATCAAGACTCGGTTTAAGTTCACTAACTCCAAGAAGCTTTCTGTAACCCCCTTCTCTCTGTTCCCACTACTCTGGTGCTCCCCTCCACCAGTGTGCTTCCCATGTATAACAATGGTCTGTTTGCCTATTTGTTTATCCCCGCAAGGAAGAGGCCACTTTTTGTTTCCATTGCCTGGCACTCTATTTGGCACACAAGAGACAATGAATAAAAGCATAAACATATTTTTCAAAATTAAAAGAAAAAAGCAATTGCAAAGACAAATTTGAACCTCGGTTTTGTCAGAGTCATCATTTCCCAGTAACTCATCATCCTCTTCTCTCCCTGAGCCTCTTGAGGAGCCAGGCTGATGTTTGGGGATTTCACCAGGATCGTCGATGCTTATTGTGGTGGCATCTGGGTTTGCTGCTAGAGAAGTGACTACATCACCAAATTCTGAAATCAATTAGAACATAAGGGCATCAGAGACCTTACCCACACTGAAAATGCTATACTTTTAAAGACAAGCTGTTACAACCTTGTCTTTGCTACAGACCCTGTCTGATACAAATCACAAAAGGCTCTGAAAAGAAAATCTCAACTAGAAGTCAAATTGTCATAGAAAAATGATTATGAAGACAACAGAATTTGGAGTCAAACCTAGATTTTAGTCCTGGCTCAGCTACTTACTAACTACATGAATGTGAGTAAGTAACTTCACCTCTATAAGCTGCAGTGGTCTCATCTACACAATGGGGAGAATAATACTTAAAAGAATGTTGGGAAAGTTAGGAATGTCATCTAAGTAAAGTTCTTAGCAGAGTGTCTGGCTTGCAGCAAATACCCAATCTAAATCTCTCTTCTTTGATTCAAGTACAAACAATTTTAAAGGAAGTTATTTTTTCCAATAAGTCCTATGTAATCGCTGAAGAAAATATGGGGACAAAAATGCAAGTAGGAGCCGCAGAATAAAAATCACTCTTGGGGTAACCACTATTAATTTTTGGTATATTTCTCTTTTATCTAAGATTCATACCAGTGACGATCATTTATTCACTGCATGCCTACAATGTCCAAGTCCTAATTTAGGATGTGATAATACTATGTAAACAATTTTGTATCCGGTTCTATATAGGATTACATAAAAATGATATTTTCATATTATATGAGTCTTTACAATGATAATTTATGTGGCTACATAATATTCCATCAGCTAGGGTGGAAGAGTAGGAGAGAGATACCATAAGTTAACGCAATTATTCCACTGTTATTGAATGCCTGGGGTGTTTCCAACTCTTCATTAGTACCAATAATCCTGTGAGGAGTCTCTATGTAGAGAAAGCTTTTTGGGTTATTGACTTAGGATGAAGACCTCTCAGTGCAATCACTAGGTTAAAGGGTGAAAACCATTTTTAAGGCTCTTGAGCAATATTGTTAAACTACTTTCCAAAAGAACCTCTGCTATTCATGTCCACAAGTAATGACTGAACCTTCCTGTCTCTGGGTATCCTAACAAACTTTATTCAGTTGCTCCTGAATACAATTCAGGGCAGCTCTAGAACTTGGCAGGACTAAGACAGGGTATCAGCAGGGCACCGCTATAACATTACAAGCATGGCATGAATCCTATAATTGGCAGTAGGATGGGGCTCTTCGATAACTGAGTCCACTCTTACTGCCTTCCAGCTATGCAAATAGTTTTATGGAGAGAACTAAAGTGACTGAAATTAATTAGATGGCTCATATGTTACAATTACTTAAGTTCAGTCTCCAGTGTTTTGTCTGTTGAAGCAGCATGAGGCTCAGCAGTGAGGTAGTCCTTTTAAGTTAAGACTCTCACACTCCATGACCTTAGGCAAATTATTCCATATCTCTGAATCTCCGTCTGTTCAAATATAAAAGGTAGACAATATCTATCTTACATAGAGATTTGGAGAATGATATGAGATAATAAATATTATTACAGCTATCATTTATTGATTGGACAGGGCATTGACATTTAAAAAGCAATAGCTTACCAGGGGCAACGGCATGCCAGAAGGAAGAACAGAGAGTGTCATGTTTTAAGTAAAAAGAACAAAGAGATTCAAAGGAGGGCAATAAGTCATCTAATTGATGGGCTTAGAAAAGGCTTCTTGGAGAAGCTGCTATAACGATGGTCAGAGTGATGGGGATAGCATTTCATGCAAAAGAAATGCGATGACAAAGACCCCAAATGTGTCCTGTGTTTGAGAAACAGCAGATGGCATAGTTTGATTGGAACACAGGATGTGTATACCTCTCACATGATGACTATTCACATATTCTGCTCTCTATTAATTATTCTTGTCCATCTCTGCTTCTTGAGGGAGAGATTGGTATTTACCACCAATATTCTTATTTCTACCACCAATATTCTCTGCTTCTACATCCTGGCATATCCCATGCTATGTTTTGCCTCTGTTCCTTTTCTGACACAATATCTTCCACCTGAGGGGTCCTAAACTCCACTTGTTCATCTAATACTACTATTCTTCTCAAGAAAAGCCTTCCATGACCCCGCAGCATCCTATGTTCTTTTTTAAAGAGCAGAGTCAATAACATAGTTTATAAAGTCCTGCGAAATTTAGCTCCTGTTCCTTCTCAAACCTCACCTTGTGATAGCCTCTCCCACCATCTATGCTCTGGCGCATTGGCCTTCTTTCAATTACTTAGGAAAAAAGAAATTAAGCGGACTTTCTCTCTCCACAGGTACTTTGTATATCCTTTTTTCTATGCTTGAACTTTCTCATACTGTACTCCTAGCTAAGATGGCCAAGGAAGGCCTCTCTAATGAAGTGAGAATTGAACAGAGTGAGGGAACAAGCCACAGGGTTATCTGGAGTAACAATGCCCCAGCAGGAAGAGAGCACAAAAGACCTAAGCGGTGAGGGTACTTGGTGTCTAGGAGGAACAGTGACAAAGCCTGCATGGGTAGAGAAGAGACAGAAAGGGCAGGAGTAGCAGGAGATTAAATCAGAGGCAGTGGAGGGCTGGATCACATAGAGCCTCTGAAGCGCAGAACAGGCTCTGGCTTTCACTCCAAGTGAGATAGATGCCACTGGAAGGTTTTAAAGGAAAACTCTAGCTGCAAAATACCTACTGTAGCAGGTCAAGAGAAGAAGCAGGAAGACTAGAAGGAAGGTTAAGGGCTGTAATCCAGACAAGACGTGGTTGTGACCTTGAGCATGGTGGGAGAGTAGTAGAGGTGGTGAGAAGTGGTCAGATACTAGATGTAGTTTGAAGATGGAACTGACAGTATTTGTTGATGAAATGGATTTCTCATATCTCTTCCTCAGGTAGTAGTGAGATAGCACGGGTGTGAGAGTAGGCTGCCTGGGTTCAAACTCTGCTTTCCCACTTAATAACTTTGTGATCTTAAGGCAAATTACTTAATTTTTCTGTTCCTCAGTTTCCTCATTGGTAAAACAGGGAGAATAAAATAACTAATTCATAAAGTTGACATAAGGATTAAATGAGTTAATATTTGTAAAGCATTTAGAACAGTGCCTGCCATATACTAGGAGCTACACAAGTGTTTACAAGACAAATAAGTATTCATCAATCCCAAGTCTATGAACTTTTCCTGTGGCACTTTCATCGTTTGTGGATTATTTAATATTTAAATAAGATATTTACATAACCGTTTAACAAACATCTCCCTCACTAGACTGAGAGCTTCATAAGGGAAGAAGTTGGCTGTTTGTTCACTCTTCTATCACTGATAACATAGAACAACTTCTGGTTCATGGTCACACTCATGAGATACTTACTGATTCAGTGAATAAACCACCTGATCATATTTCATCATAATCATCTTTTTACACTTTTATCTGCGTTAGCAGTATAAAAAATTTCTCTTGTATCTAGTACAGTTCTAAGCACAAAGTAGATGTCAATAAATGTTTGCTGAACTAAAGCAGGAACTCTACAAACATTTCTGTAATCGCTGTACTAAATTTATGTTACCATCTGAAGGGCTATTTTGTAAAAAAGTATAGCTGGTATGGACAAACAGAGACACCTGAGTGTGACCAACGTTCTTTAACCAAGACGTTTGAAATAACCTTCTTTAATGTGTATTCCAGTATAGTAATGAAAATCTGTTGCTGTGACTGCAGAAATATTGATCATAGAGATAAAAGTGGGCACTTAACTAATGTACCTTCAAACTGCAAGTCATCTACAGCTGCCATTCAGCCAGTGGGTCTTCTCCAAATTATAAGGAATCAAATTTGCAGAGGTCTAAAAGGGAAAAATGAATAAACTTAATAAAATATGCCAAAATAAAATATCTGCGAATAAATCTTATTTCAGCGTTCAAAATGGTATTTGCATCCCTTTTTAGTAGGGTTTGCTAGGTTTACATAAAGAGAGCCATTTAGCATCAGATAATATTAAAACTTATAAAGAAACTAATTTGGGGGCGGGGAGCAGGGTCCAAAGTTTCTATCCAATCTCACTCACTGTGTGTTAGGGATCAGGTGCAACCCAGAGATGAAAGGATGAGAAAAAGGAGGCTAGGGGTTCAGAAAGGTGGCTGTGAGGACAATAAAAAGCAAAGGCCTTTCAGCTGAGCCGGCGGTTAAGGTCACAGGCTCTGGGGTCAGACAGACCTGGGCTTCATTCCTGAAATGAATGCTGCTGCTTCTCGCTGTGTGACTGTGGGTTCCTCGGGGCTTCAGTTTCTTCATCTGTAAAATGGGTTCGTAATGGTACCTACTCATACGGTGTTGGGGGCCATTAAATGAGACAGTAAGGAGCTTAGTGCACAGCTAAGCAATTAGTAGGCGCTGGAGTGATGGCGACCCTACAGCGTGGGGCACCCTGAGCCCACCAGGCAAGTCTGGGAAAAGAGCTGCCCACAAAGTAGAGGCAGTGTTTTAAGTAGAGGAGCTGGGCCGCAGCGCCCCGGTGGGCGGGAGATCCCAGGCCCGCTTTGTTCCGGGCCAGCCCCGCACACCCGGCTGCCTCACCTCTGGGGTCTCGGCGTCCAGCCCGTCCCAGGATGGCTCGGGCCTCAGATGCTCCGCACAGATTCTGGTCCCTCCGAGTTGCCGGAAGCCGGAGATCCGGGAGGCGGAACTTCTCCACCTCCTCCGGGCAGAGCCCCGCCTCCTTAAAAAGACAGCGGCACCCGGCGACGGTGCTTTCCGGAGACCGCAGCGGGCGGTGGCATCCAGAGCCTGCTCCTTCCGCCATCCCCTCTAGAGTGCGAAGATCAGCTTCTCAAAGAGACTGACGGCGAAGTGGGAGCGCTGAGAGGGTTCCCCTCCGCTCGCCTCGCTACGACCAGGTGCATAGAATTCTTTAGGGTGTGGGGTTTTTTTTCCCCCCATGTTTATACCTCTTTTTTTGTTATTGAATATAAAATAGCGTAACGAAGGACGATTGTGAAAAAAAGTCAGCAATCCCACCTCCACAATTCTTTTTGGCCCTAAAAATTTAATTAACCGGTGAGGAAGTGAATGAAGCAATTACTCTGAGTTTGTGAATGAGTGATGGAGGGCAGGATGATGTCTGTTAAGATAGGCACCTCAGTAAGTTTGGTAATTGGTTCCTTCACTCACTCCCGTGGCAGTTTGCCTTATGCCGGAGAGATGGGGGCAGGAGGCTTGGTTGGGGACGGCAGTAAGGATTGGCTCACTCACCCCCAGAGTCCCCTTAACAGGCATCTGACTGCTAGTTCTAATACAGCAGGGGCCCAGTAAACGACGATGGTAGAGTTGGCACTGAGTGTACCTGGCGAGAAACGTTTTGCTCAGCCTCCTATCTTTGCCCGGTTAATGCCTACACAGCCTTCCAGATTTTGTTACCATTTCCTCCTACTAGGAGAAGCCGGCCTTCACCTCCCAGGACTTCTTTTCTCCCTTACTACCCTGGGCTTGCCTCTCCCACCACAATTGTTATTGTTCGCCCATCTTTGCCTGTGAGTGGTCTGAGGGCAAGGATCAGGAATGATTCTGGTCTCTGGGTCCCCAGCGCCCAGTCTAGGGTCCCGCACATAACAGTTGCTCAGTGAAGGCTAACTGTAGAATGACCAAGTTCTGGCCATTTGAGCCACATAAGCCAAAGTCACAGTTCACACTAAGTGGAACCCGTTAACTTTGGCCTCAGCACAATGGGCCCTTGTGGTCAACTGGAAAGACTTTATATCTAACTATAATTATATACACACTCACTGTATTTATTGAACTGACATCATTATCAGGCTTTATATATGCAGGATCTCTAATTCTCAGAATAATCCTCCAAGCTTGAGGTGATTATCCTCATTTTATAAAGAGAGAGCCAAGGCTTAGGGTAAGTGCAGGGTACTTTGGTTGACTATGTACCAGGAACGAATCTCGATACACAAATTCAGGTGTGAAAGTGTATCAAACACCTCTTATGTCCCATTTCAGATCCTCTTGGCCTCACCTGCTGCTTATTTCACCACATTGATCTTATTCCATAGCTTCAGCAGATATAACCTAAGTGAGCTCCACCTCAAGCTCATAAAAAAGCCCACACCTCAGGCTTTTTTGCCTTCTGCTTGAGTCTTGGTACTATGGGGATAATAGGACTGCTGAAACCATTCTGTACCCAGACAGGCACAACCCAGAGGTGCAGGTGTGGGGAGTGGTTAATGCCTTCGGGGCCAAATCTTTGACCATTGGTGTCAATACCTGATGAATTGATGCTTCTTCCTTGTTCCCCTCAGACATACTCATGCAGCTTTTAAACTATCTTGCAGGATCAAGTAACCAAATGCCTTTGGAAGTGGCCAATTTGATAATGGGTCCTTGAATGGCTCTCCTTCCTCACCTGCCTTACAATCTTTGTCTTGATCTCCTAATTCTTGGATTCATAATTGCCAATAAAGTACTCATATGAGGAACCCACACTAAGGCATGTTGGTACCAAGAGTGGCCCCAGAAAACGCCCTCAGGGTGGTATTTTGGAACTGGACTGCTCACCAGTGGATGGCAACAACAACTCCATTGCTGGTGATAAGTGTGTATGTGATATGGGGAGGTGATAACACCTAGATTGTATGTTTCTTCTCTTGGAAACAGAAGCAAACATTATATTGATATATTAGTTATAATGACATTAATTTTTGGCTCAAAATGAGACAAGAATCAAAGATAACTGTACTGGTTTAACTAAAACAGCAATCCTCAACTGGGCACTATTTTGCTTCCAGAGGATATTTGGCAATGTCTGAAGACATTTTTGATTGTCATGACTTATGAGGTGCTACTGGCCAGGGTGCTTCTAGACATCCTACAGTGCACAGGATAGCCCCTCATAACAAAGAATTATTTAGTCTAAAATATCAATGGTGTCAGGGTTGAAAAACTCTGAGCTCAAGTGTTCAGATTTCCTTAACTTGTCTGTCCAAGTATGGTAAAACAAGTGAGCCCATCTGATGATACTAATCAGATCTCTACTGCTCTGAGGGGGAAATGAACCACTGAGAGATAGAACCTATCCACCTTCACTTAGCATGCGAGAAGAATGAAGCAGGGGAAGGAAGCCGATGAGCAAGTCTTGCTCTCATGGACAGGTATGGGGAGGGGGTGGAGCCTTGGTATGAGCCTTGGTTAGATGCTGCATGTGATCCTGACTGAGTCCCCTGGCATTCTGTGAAGAGGAAAGCTGGCAACCACACAGTGGAGCCATGCTCCAGAAAGTGTCTCCAACACCCCATGAGCAATATCCATTCCAAGAAGGCTGTCAGCACTGAGGAAGCATCTCACCCTGGCTCCAGGGGTCCAAAATAAGGAATGGGCAGTTGGTATCACTTTAATCTTTTTTCTTTGGGAGTCTCAAAAGGCCTCTTTTCCTTTTTTCTATGTGTTAAGGGCTTAGATTGTTTGGAGCCACGTGTGGTAAAGAGAGAACCGGAAAGGGCTGCTGGCACATTGCCAGCCATCCTGCGACAAACAGGACACAAAATTCATATATGTATTCCCCACCCCAGCTCCCGCCAAAATTTGATTATAAAAATTTGTAAGTAATTACATACATTTTAAAAGACAAACAGTAGACTTCAAAGTCTTTGAAAAGTGAGTGGTAATTTTTTGTTTACCTGTTTCTTCCCCACTCTAGACTGCCACCCCATTGAGAGCAGAGAAAGTTGTATATACACCATGCTCCTAGAGCCAAGGGAAGTCACAGGCTCAGTTTTCCTCAGGGATGGCTCTAGCTCTGGCTCTGCCTAGGGAATTTCCAGACTCAAATCCTCTGGGGAGGGCTATGCCTCCAGAAACTCTCAACCACCAGCTAGAAGCTGTAAGTGGGAAAAACATCTTTCTTTAGTAAAATACTTTATTAAAAGAATAATTAACATTAGAATTGACTTACTTGCAACAGAGCCTTTCTAAAGGACCACAGAGTTCCTTTAAGGGTGATCTCTTAAAAGTATTTGTTCTTAAAAATCATCAGAAGAGAATTTAAGGTTGACGTTTTCCAATCCAAGAATCTCTCAAAGGTTAAGGCAAAGAATCAGAAGTGATAACAATTAGATCATATCTTTGAGCACCTAGTTTGGAATTTTCCATTTCACTGACGGGAAGGCAAATACCTCTTGTCCTGGTACCTTCCTCCTGTCGCAGGTTTGTCACTCTGACCCTGAACCTTTGTTCAGCTCCACCCAGTGTGCCCCAGCTGCGGCCTCGCTGCCCGTTGGCCTCAGAGCCAGCTCTGGCTGTGCTGAGATGGAGCTGCCCTGGCCAGGGCGGTGGCTGAAGAGGCTCTGGGTACTCTTGCAGGTGGCCCTACATGTGGCTGTAGGCAAAGTCCAACTGACCCTATTTCCCAGGAGAGTCAAGCAGAACATCGTGGCCATGAACCGGAAGAACCCTCATTTTTCCTTTGACAACTGGCTCCCAACCCTCTTCAGTACCCAGTATTTTTGGTTCGTCCTGAAGGTCCGTTGGCAGCAACTGGAGGACACAACTAAGGAAGGAGGTCTGGCCCCAAACTGCCCTGTGGTCTGCCTCTCAGGACAGAGGTGCAACATTTGGGACTTCATGCAAGGTCAGGAGGCTGATATAGCTTGAGAAGTGCTTGAAGGGAGTGAGGCGGGGGGTTGAAAAGTCCTGAATTCTTCTACTACTCCAGCTGTTCTTTTTTGGCTTCTTGTCTTCTTCCCACTTCCTGAAACCAGGACTTCTCCTGGATTCTGTCTTTCTGAGTGGCATCAGCACCTTCACAGGCAATCAAACCACAAACCAGCCACATTAGCCTTTAACTACTCCAAGTTAGCTATTACCACGCAGTTGCTCTGCCTGATGCACTTTACCCCTCTCTCTACCTGGTCAAGTCTGGTTCATCCCTCAGACTTCTGCTCAGTGATACTTCTGCGACAAGCCAACCCCAACTCCTCCAGACTAGGTTACCCCTTCTTGTAGGCATAACATCCGAAACTTTTATTATTACACCTGTCCTGGTTTGTAATTATTTGTGCGTATTTGATTAATGTCTGTGGCCCTCACTAGCCTGCAAGTTCTGTGAAGGTGGAGATTGTCACTCGAACCCACTATCATGTTCCCATGGCCGCTGCTGACTCATAGTAGTTGCTCAGTAAATATTTGTTGAAGATGTCCCACGCACACTCTCTCTCTTCCAGGGAAACCAGCTCTATTTGAGTTCTTAAAGACCTGGTGGATCAGTTTTCTCTTTTTTGTCCTCACAGCTGCTCTTCCTGCCAGGACTTCCTCCTCTCTCTTGTGCCCTCTTTTCCTACCCAGTTTGTGAATGGCTGCCAGATTATCCTTTCATAAGCATATCCCTGATCAATCTACATCCCAGCTTACCAAGCTTCAGCAGTTCCCCTCTGCATTCAGGACAAATGCTCAGGGTCTCCCTGGGCTGTGCTTTGTGCTCAAGGTCCTGGGCTGACTCCAGCTTTTCTTCCCAATTTCACCTGTATGCCTCCCCTCACGGTCCTTGCCTGCAGACCAACTGTTCAGCCTTGTACGTCTCTTGAGCTTTTCCTTCTCTGCCTCTGCTGAAGTTGTTGGCTCTTCCCCTCCATCTCCAACAGTACAAATCCCCCTCATCATCAAGGTCCTGCTCTCTTGCTTCTCCCTTTGTGAAGCCATCTCAGATCCCGATAGCTGGACAGGTACTTTCTCTCTTCTGGACTCATGGATCTCCATCTGCACTTTAACTCGGACACTGATTCTTCCTACCAAGACTCTGGCTGCCTATGTGCAAGTGTTTTCTTCCTGCTCGATGGGAAGCCTTGCAACAGGGCTGTCTGATTCATTTCTGAATTCCTAGGGCCTGGACACAGCAGATAGTGTAGAGAAGGTCCCAGAGGCAGCTGGCTAATCTGGTGCTTTTCAAAGTGTGTTCTTTGGAACCTACATCCCATAGATATGCTTTATTACATAGAGTCCCTCAGTCAGAGTAGTTTGAGAAACCCTCACCCTATACTCTCCTCCTGGAAATTCATCATGCACATTAACGTATAAAAAGCTCTGAGAAGACCTGAAGCTTGAAATCAAACAGATAAAATGTGGAAAAACTTTAACATAGCACTGACTAATTTTCCTAACACACACACACACACACACACACACACCCCTGCCCAATTTCCACCATATTGGTCCCAAAGAGCACCCTAATGTTGCCCTAATCCAATCCTCTCATTTTGAAGGGAAATGGAGACAACTAAGAGGAAAAGGTAACAGAACCAGTGACTGACTGAGTCAGACCCAGAATCAGGGCTTCTTCATCTTGTTTTTTCAATGCACTGCAACAAACATTCATGAGTGCCTCCTATGTGCCAGGCCCTCAGAATTAGGTAAGAGCTTGCTCCTTTACTCAAGGAGTTTATGGTTCCACAGAACAGATGGATGTAATAAACAAATTATTATAGTTCCATGAGATGGGGAGGCTGTAGAGGTATGAATTTTGCCTGCAGGGCTTAGAAGATTTCCTGGAGGAGGTAGTTTTGGAACTAGGTCTTGAAGAATGAGTAAGATTTTTGTACCTCGAGAAAGGAAAAGGAAAAAGTGTTTCAAGCAAAAGGAAAGACGAGAGTGTTTTGAAAGGCATAATTTTAAACCAGGGTGCACAATGATCTCTATTCGACGAAATTCACCAAGTGATCACTGATAATAAGAGCAATGAGAATAACATAGAACTTTTATTGTGCATCTACTATGTGTCAACCCTGTGATAGAACCAGGCTGACTTGCTGAATATCAATCATCTAGCTATCAGTTCCATGAAAACCAACTGTCTCGTGGTCAATTTACTGAATTTACTTGGTTCTTTTAATCGTTCATTGTCAGTGGGACAGTTTACATTTTAAAGACTGTTCTTTTGTCTCTGTTCCCTACTGTTGCGCCTGAAACTAAAGGAAGAGAGAAGGAACCTGAGAGACAAAAGAAAATCTACTGTTGCACCTAAAACTAAAGAAGGAAGAGAGAAGGAACCTGAGAGACAAAAGAAAACTACTTGTGACATAGAGTTGGTCTTCATCACATTGACCCAGAGTCCTCTGAAATAATAGGTGTTTGTAGTACAGAAATCAACATGACTGGTCTCAACCCTGGAAGATCTCCTAACCCAGAGAGGGAGATGGTGTAGTGACAGAGGGAGCCAGAGGATTCCGGAAGAAGTGGAGTAGGGTAGGGAGGTGGTCAGAGGAAGGCTTCCAAGAGAAAAGGATGGTAGCTAATTGTCTAGGGACAGTGAAGCCTTGGGGTGGGTGAGGAAAGGGAAGTGAAAGCAGAGCAGGACAGAGGGAAGAGGAGCAGAGGTCCAAGATGGGGAGCGTTGGTGAGTTTGGCAGAATCGGGGTGTGGGAAGCATGAAGAGGTGAAGGATGAGGCTGGAGACACCATCAGGAACCAGAGCCTTATGTGTCTTACCAAAGAGTAGATTTTATCTGAGGGTATTGGTGAGTTCTAAGAACATTCTCAAGCAAGGAGTTAACATCCAGTCTGCTTATTAGAATGACATCCTGTAACTGCTTTGTAAACCCATTAGGCCACTAAAAAGCTGTGTTGTATGGTTTGGGTATAAATCTGAACTAATTTTAGAGCCACAGACTGGAAGGTCTGAAAGAGTCATCTTTATGGATACCCTAAAGCAACTCTTGCATTTTTTAGATGCAAAGACCCAGATAGGTAAATTACTTGTTCAGAGTTACACAGAGAGTTCTTATAGAGCCAGACCTAGAATTTATGCCTTCTGACTCTCAGTCAATGCACTTTCCGCTATTGGGTAAGGCATCAGAGGCTCAGAGAAATACTCAGCCGCCTCCTATCCTCTGCACGCATGTGCACGCATATTACATACACATGCATGCATATTACATACACATGCTCTTAGACACACACACAGCAAAATATTGATTACCTGGTGTATTGTGGTAGAAAGCAAGTCTGATGCTTTATTTTCTAGGTTACTAGAAGTTAATCTGAAACCAAATTTATTTCAGCCCTTTTTTAATATCTTCTAAAAACTCTCCAAGCATACTTAGTAACTATAGTTACTATAAATAGTCACCTAGTAACTATAGTCACCTAGTAACTATACAGAAATAGATGATGCTGAGAGAGCCTGGTATGCAGGTTAATTTACTGGTCTAGGGGTTGTGATGGTGGGTTCGAGTCCAGCACTAATACAGAGCTGTTTTTCCATTTATATAGATGAGATGGACTTGACATTCCTTGCCCGATATACTTGAAATTGTGTTCTCTGCACCATGGACCTGGGCAAGGTGTCAGCCCTCAACACTGCCACCCTCTAGCACCCATCCTTCCTCTCTCTGCTACTAAGAAAGTAGAAAACTGAGTTTAAACTTTGTCCTTAATACTGATCACTGTACCAGACCACACCATAAATAAACAAATGGCTCTGTCTCTTCTAAGGTCCTAATTGGTGGGTATTGAATCTTTTCTTCCAATTAAGAACAAATTCCAGACAGCAAATATTTAACAATGGTCCTGACCTTAAGTCTTTTGACTTCTTATCTGAAAGGTGACTCCCTGGGGTCATTGGAAGCCAGTGCAGTGGCCGGCCACTTGGCCATGACTGGCCTCTAAGCCTCCCTTGCTGAGGCCTGGGCAACCTTGTCACATGGGTGAGGACTTGTTGTATAATCAACCAACAGCGACTGAGGCCCACTCAATGCCCTCTAGGGCCTCCTATAAGAAAATCTGTGAGCCAAGGACAACAAGAACTTTGTCTCTCCAGAGCAACTGGCCTGCTTTCTCTTCATGTCTGAAAAATGAAGAATATATAACCAATTGCTTCTCCTTTTACTTGGCCACCAGGAAACTCAGAATCAAATATACCTCAGTTATAACAAATGCAGGGACCTTAAGGCCTTTTTCTGTTCCACATTTCCCTCCTCTTCTATGCCTCCCAAAGGGACATGACTTTTATTAAATATCTATTTAATATTATATGTGTAAGCTGCTTCAAATCTACAGAAATAGATGAAGAAATAACTAACCAAATAAACCACAAGCAAGTTAAGATGCTCTCTACTCCCTATTCATCAGTAAGTCCAGTCAATTCCAGCTTTTCCCTTCTCCACTGCCCACATACTAGTCCATGTTCCCAGTATCTCTCATGTGGATTTCTCCCATGTCCCCAACTGCTTCTCCCCCACTTCCGTTCTCATGCTCAGTCTTTTCACTACAGAGCAGCCAGAGTGATCTTCTGTATAAATCTGACCATTTTTCAATATACAGCTCTACTGTAGCAGTCAGGGTGCTGGCTTACAAGCAACACAAACTCACTCTGGTTTTCTTACTCACATACATATACATATACAAAGGAACATATTAGAAAGGTGTTGCAGGGTCCCAAGTATCAACCACAGCTGGAGCACTGGGCCTGAACTGTCTTTTAGCATCAACGGTCAGGCCTGGATACTGCTGTTACTTTGGTTGCCATGGGAACCCATCACCACTGTAAGACTCCACCTTCCTTGACTGAGCTGTAGATTAATTCTACCATCTCCATGACTCCAGAATCAAAGATCTATGTGGGAGAGTCTAATGAGCCCAGCCTTAATCATTGTCTGTGCCTTGGCTGCTGTAGGCAGAGAACAGAACTGGCCCTATCTTCCATAGAGTGAGGCTGGGCACACTCTCTCATCGATAGTACATAAAATAGGGAATTCCAAGTAGGAAGAAGAGTTAGGAGCTGGACAGCCAAAATTATAACAAATATTCACCATCCTTGCTTTGTATTCCCATGATGTCCTGTTGTACCTAGAATAAAATTCAGATTCTTTATGATATAAGAGAGCCTGCCTGCTCTGGCTCATATATACCTCTCCAACCACCACTCTCATTGACCTCCAGCCTGGCTCTAGTCATAATGACCTTCCAGGTATGTGAATACACCAAGCTCTGTCCCTCCTCAGGGCCTCTGTATACAGAATGGAGTCTCTTTCTCCTCTTCTTTGCCCCAGCTGGCTCATTCCTAGTCTTCATTTCTCAGGTTAAATGGCATCTCCCCAGAGGCCTTCCTTGACTTACTTGTCTAAAGTAGGTCATTCCTTTAGAGTTTCTTTTGTAACCCTTATCACAACTTGAAATTACTTCATTTATGTTTACTTGTTTTTTGCCTGTTTCCCCATTAAACAGACCTCAAATTGCATGCAAGCAGAGATCTGCTGGTCTTGCTCTCTACTGAATCCCCAATGTGTCGCAGAGAGCCTTGTACATTCTAAGTGCTGAATAAATGCTTGTAGATGGAATGAGCCTGTGTTCAATGTCAGGGATGTGAGGATGAATGAAGAACAAGCCTTGCCCTCAATGAGTAGCCATGTCACAGTGCAGGATGTGCCATGCTCTGACAGATGTATGGTATGGGTTCAACAATGTCTGCTCTGGCCATAAGTAGCCACAGGGTGCTGGCAGCTCCCTGGAGTTCCCCCCAGTCTAGGCTGGGAGAGTTTGAAAAGGCTCCCATCCAGGGCTGGCTTCATGGGCATGGGACCAGTGAAACACACAGAATCCCACGTTGGGAAGGGCCTGTGCTTGGGGCTTAATGCTCTGTAGAAGCTGTACTGAAATTCTTAATAGTTTTATCTTTGAATTTGCATTTAGTAAGTGAAGCCTCATGGGACAATAGAACATGCCCCAGGGACTTAGAGACTTGGCTCCTGCAGGATTCCACCTTCCACAGCCTCCCTGCTCCTCTCTGGGACATGTTCTTCAAAGCCCACTTTTCCACTCCCAGGCACCCTAGCCCATTCAGCCTCCTTCCTGCTCCCACCCACTGACTGCTGCCACCTTCTGGTCCCAGATAGGGCCTGGATATGAGCATGGGAAAGGTCAAGGTCAGGTGTGAGCATCTCGCAGCATCTCCTGGCAGAGTGTGGGATCAGCCATCCCCATCCTGGGATGACAGTGTCATGATGCAATTTGGCAAGTCACTAGGGGTGACTTGGCAAGAGGAGTCTTTTGCCCACCTCCCACCCCCATCAAGGTACCCAGCATGTCCCTGCAGTTTGTAATATCCTGTGAGTTGGAGTGGTGGGCAGGTGGGAGGGAGAAATGTCTGGCTCAATTTCTGTACTCCTGGCTGGGACATGGTATGTTGGTCTGGTGGGCTAGAGGGAGAGGAATGCCAGTAGCCAGTGGCCACAAACATACATGGACATGCACATTGAGTTATGGGGCTCCTGGGGCACTGTGAGGGTCTGCATTCACCTATGAATATCCTTGTGCCCAGGGGAGTACAACATTAAATAGCAACTAAAAGCACCATGCCCGGGCAAGAGAGAGACCACAGAAGATAAGGAAAATCTTTGTATTTTAACATGCTTAATGGTATTTTTTTTCCTCCACTTTTTGAACAAGAGGCCCTACATTTTCATTTTGTACTGGGCCCAGTAATTATGTAGCTGGCCCTACTCCCACCCTTCACTCCCCTTTGTGGAGTCCCCTCTACTGCCTCCCCAACTTCATGGTTCAGGAAATAAATAATAGCTAATAACAGCAGCTTACAGTCATTGAGTACCTACCGTGGGCCAGGCACCGTTTTAAGCCCTTATCTGTATTAAGTTATTTAATGCAGATTGTAATTCTCATTACAATCCTATAAAGTAAGTATTGTTACCATGTCCATTTGTGGATAAGGAAACTGGAGTGCTTGGAATTGAAAGAGCATTGAATTGAGAGTCTAGGAGCCAGAGTGTTAATTTTAACTCCACCATTGACCTGCTGTGTGACCTGGAGCAAGCCTATAAACCTGTTTGCCTATAAAATGGGGAAAAAATTATCTACCTTACAAGATAATAACCAAATCACATGAGAGAATGGATGTGTGCCTGCATTATAAAATGCATGAAAGGGACTCTTCTTATTCTTTTGATTCCCACCCAGTGGTCCACTGAGAACTGATAAAATCGCTCATTTTAGAGAGGAATAAAATGGCTCTAGCCTCTGCTAAGTCAGGTGCTGGATCCATCTTAGAGGGGAAATAAAGATAAAGAATTAAATGCAGGAGTGAAGATGCTGCTTGCAGAAGAAATGCTGTGTGTAGAGTATTGGTTATTGATGGTTCCATTTCTGTTTCAGGCAATAGACCATTGGTGCTGAATTTTGGAAGTTGTACCTGACCTTCATTTCTTTTGAAATTTGATCAATTCAAGAAACTTATTGAAGACTTTAGTTCCATAGCAGATTTTCTTGTCATTTACATTGAAGAAGCACATGCATCAGGTACAGAAAGATTCTCTGCCTCTACCTCCTCCTGCCCTCTGTTTTCTCTCTCCCCTTCTCTTAAGGTTGGGGGTAGGGAGAGGTATATGAAGAGAGAGAGAAGGACCCACCATTCGCTAAGTTCCCACCGCCTCTCAGTCCCTGCTAGGTTTACCTACCACTCACTAACTTCAGTCTGTGCTTTCAACCAGGCACACAGAGCAGAAAACCTGGAGTGATGGGGTCTAGCTGGGAAATCATTGAACATTCTGAATGGATAAATAGAGAAAGCAAGGGAGAGGAGCTAATATGAATACAATTACAAGAAACTGAGACCTGAAATGACCCAAGTGAAATGACTGCTATATAGCTACTCGTAAAATCTATCCTAAGACCCTCCAAGCTCAAGGGTACATTGTGGTTCATCTCAGTCAGTGGTTCCTGAGTGTTAGTGAGCATTGAAAGCACCTGAAAGCACTTGTTCAAAACAGACT